AGTGCTTTCTCTCCCTTTATCTCTCTCTCTCTCTATATATATATACTCTTATACATTTACTAATGTATACATTTACTATATAAGGTATATTTATATTACTTTATAAATAAATATACATAACTAAACAATGTTGCAAAGTAGGTGGAGTAGATATTACTTAAAAAAATAAATAAAGGCTGTTTGGTTAAGGTTCTTGCCTAAGGTTGAAAAGCTGGTAAACAGAAGTGTTACAATTTTTATAAATTTTAGCCCTGGGCTCCTATTACCTAACCACACTATCTAGGGTAAACGGTCTTTTGTTTTATTAGAAATCCCATGCTTAACAAGTAATCCTGGAGCATAATTTTGCTTTTTTGAGGTACAGTGGCTTACAGGTTTTGGAGTCAGAATCAAACTCAGATTCCAGCTCCACTGTGTATTAGTGGTGTGATTTTGGAAAAATCACTTAATCTCTTTGTGCCTCAGTTTCTTCATCCATAAAATGGGGATAAAAATATTTACTTCAAAAGATTGCTTTGGCTAATCATACATTTAAAGCAAAGTGCCTGGCAAATTGTTAAGCACTCAATAAATGGCAGCTATTATTAGTATTAGGATAAATAAACAAAGCCAAAGGGGGGAAAAAAACCCCACTACATTCCATAATGAGGAAGTAATGATTCAGACTCAAAACTTTCAAAAGCACAGAGGGTGCATCTCTCCATTCCTGTCTGGTTGTGTAGTATCTTGCATGTTGCTTAATAAACCCTGGCATCTCTGTAATTTTAGAACTGGAAGGAACTCGAAGGTTGAAGTTCATCTATTTCAAGCTTCTCATTTTACAGATAAGGAAACTGAGGCTGGGAGGGGTTGAATGAATTATTTCAGGGTTACAGTGCTAGCACCCTTCCTGCTACATCTGGTAAACCACACAAAAGAGTGAGCAGGAAGCAAAGGATAGGAAGACACCCCAGATTCCAGAAAGAAAAGATTCAAACCAACAAAACGTGATGGAACAGGTCCAAAAGGTGTAAATACCCGCTTACAGGCTGGGTGTCATATCCAAGGGCAATGCCTGCATATCATCCTCACAGAGATCTTTAAGGGGGGAGGTGCCTAAACCAGTAGGCAACCAATCAGAAGTGCCCTGGGCTCTAGAGGTGGGAAGGGCTACAGTGGGAAGGGCTTTGCTGGTGAGAGAGGCATCTACCAACATGAGTGGTGCTGAGAGGTGGTGATGGGGATGCAGAAGGAAGGGCATTACTATCAACACTGCCCGTCCACTCCCAGCAGTGGGTCCCAACGGCAGGCGCGTATCATCCAGCCAGCTAGCCGGCATGTCAGTGGCAATACGCCCCAAACCACCCAGGAGAAGTAAAAGAAGTGAAAAACATTCAGATCATCATTTTTTGCTAGTAGTTAAGCTTTCACCCATTTGTTAAATTAATATTAATAGCAATTTCCAGAAATGACTCATGGAGTTTTTTTTTGGCTTGAAAACAATGAAAATTGATTTTTAAAGAAATGATGAAAAGGAGTATTATTTTTCATAATTCACTATTTCATAATAACACATTTTGTCAGTTTACCCTTACTTTTCTATTGGCCATCAGCTAGAGCGGTCAGTCTCTTTCAGAAGGTCTTTTTTTTTTTTTTTTTTTACAATTTTAATTATAAACATAGTCTTTCTTACCCGTATCTGAAAGTGTATTTTGCGTAAAAGTGTATCTTTACAGTAGTTTTTTTAAAAATAGATTCTCATATCTAAAAGGTGAAATTTTGACTTTTCCTATTTTTCCTCGGTCTAGTTTCAACCTTCTAAGAGTAAGTTAAAATGAAAAGAATACATACGAGATATACTGAATAAGGCTGAGTGCTAAGCTACAGTTATATATAACAGCTATTAAACATTTCAAAAAGATGTCACAAGCAGTTCTAAAATCTCTGTTGTTGTTAGAGAAATGTTTTTAAGTAGACAAGAGAAGCAGCTTACAAAATAGTTGTGTGTAGTGAGAGCCATTCTTTATAAAACTGCACATATAGGTCTGTGTGTATACACAGGAAAAACTGCAAATTCACCTCGACTGTTAAAACTGATATTTTTTTTTTCTAGGTCTTGGGGTTTCATGGGATGATTATTTCTGTTGATCTATTTGAATTCTCTAATTTTCTGACAATGAATAGATATTTTGGTCATAAGACAAAAGGGTCTTTGTTTTTTCCTTCTCTTTCTTTGGTTGTTTCCTTAAATGCTACAGAGGATGGGGTCAGGGGTGGGAAGGGATTTCAAAATGTAGAATAGACAAACAAGATTATACGTTATAGCACAGGGAAATACAGACAAGATCTTATGCCTAGCTCACAGAGAAAAAAATGTGACAATGAATATATATATATATGTTCATGTATAACTGAAAAATTGTGCTCTACACTGGAATTTGACACAACATTGTAAAATGATTACAACTCAATAAAAAATGTTTTAAAAAATGCTACAGAGGATGGAATTTGGAGTGGAGGGGAGGACCAGAGCAAAGTCCAGAATGATTGCAAATGAAAAGTTCTTCTGATTGAACAGAATATGGGGGCAGGAGTCCATCTGATACTGGAGTGGAGTTTTTGTTGGTTGGTGTTTGCATGTGAGTGAATTCTTTTTTGTTGTGTGGTAAAAATACAACCATAGAAAAATAATTTGCAGTTGTTCTGAAAATGGCATTTCCCTCTGTTGCTTCCAGAGACCCTCCTCTGAGAAACCAAGGTTTAGGCTTAAAGCAATTGTGCACTGGGTAGGAAGGGCCAACATAAAGTAAGGAGGGACCACAAAGATCTCGGCCCTTACAAGAACTATTTCTCTCTCCTCGGTTAAATTTGAGGCCTCTTCTCTGCTTGTTTTATTCTCTTTCCTTTAACAATACCTAAAGAACTTATTCTATGCTGATTAAATTATGGGAAAGGACAGAAAAGTCACCTCTGATGTAGGAGCTAACAATCTAGGTGAGCAAACAAGGTACATATTGGAAAAGTTAACTAAAAAACACGGAGGCAGAATGCACTTAAGCATTCAATGACTTACACAGAGAAGTCCTACAGCAGTTAAAGGAGTGGCTGGTAACTTTAGTATAAGGTCAAGGTCTAGATCAGTAACATTCCTTTACCCTTGACTCTGGCAATCTTGATTATGATATGTCTTGGTGTGGGTCTGTTTGGGTTCTTCCTGTTTGGGACCCTCTGAGCTTCCTGTACTTGGATATCTGATTCCTTCTTTAAGTTTGCGAAGTTTTCAGTCATGATTTCTTCCAATACCTTTTCAGTCCCCTTTGATCTTTCTCCCCCTAGATCAGTAACATTCAATTGAACTTCTTACAAAAATGAAAATGTTTGAACACAGTAGCTGCTAGCCATGTGCAGCTACTGACTAGCTGAAATGTGGTTAGTACAATTGAGAAAGTGAATTTCAAAGTTTTTAAATTCAAATTTTAATTTTAATAGCTACATATGGCTGGTCACTATCATTCTGAAAAGTGGTAGGCTGAGATCTAGAACGTAGCAATAGTTAAAGGTATCAATAGTAATAGGACTTGTCCTGTTACTTGAAGAAAGGAGAGGATCTGAGTAGTTGAGAATACAGAAAACCATTCTAGGATAAGAAAAAGCATGAGTAAGCTGTGTTCAGTTCACTTTGAAAGTGTGAAAGTGCCCGGTATTCGGATGGAGTATTGTGATGGGTTGCTACGCTGGGCAGACTGTGTAGCTGAGAATTAGGATTTGAAACTGTAGGTAATACAGAGTCTTGATTATTTCTGACCAGTGGATAATAACAGTTCTTACCATGTGCCGGGCATTGTATTGAGTGCCTTACATGGATTGTTTGATTCAATTATTATAACAACATTTTGAGAGAATGAAGATTCACTTGGTGGCACTGCAGATAAAGGCAGGTAAGAGAAGCAATTATAACCCTGGAAACATGTCAAAAGTACTAATGAACGTGAGGGATGTAGAAGCTAAAAAGCCTTATTTAGGACATTAGGAAATTAGACTCAATAGAACTTGATGTCTGACAACATGCAGAGGGTGAATGGAAAGGGGAGCAACACAATCTGTATCCCTAGAGATACTGATGAGGATAAACTCCCGGAAAGCACCAATAATTCTGGGGGGAAATGAAGGCAGTTGCCTTAGCAAAGGGATCTTGAAAAGGATGTAGTTGGCAATGGAAACAGGTCAATGGAGTTTAGAAATCTGATGAAGAAAAGGTTTTCAAGAATCCTACAGGTAAGCTAAAGATGAGGTTGGAGGAATGGCAGAGGAACATGGGAGAATTAAGGTAATGCTGACAAATACTGAGGAATCAAGAGGAGGAAAGTCGGTTTTGGAAAGGAGATATGAATTCTGCTTCTGACATGTTGAATGGAGGTAATACATCCTCTGGATGACGATGCCTTGCTAGTTGGGAGGGAATGTGAAACTAGCTTCTAAGACAGATCAGGGCTGGAGAGGGGCAATTGTAATGTGTCCTCCCAGGACAGCAGGTAAAGAGGACAGAAGGTTAAGGATAGAACCTGGGGCGAATGCCCATCCACATAGGTGGCTAAATCAGGAAGAATAGCCAGCAAGGAAGAAGGGGCGACTGAACCACAGCATGGCGATGTTCTGAAGGTCAAGGAAGAATTTTAAAGGTGACATTGAATCAAAATTTCCATATGCTGTAGTAAGGTCAAGGAAAAAAAGACCGAGAAAAGGGTGATTGAGTTTATCAAGGACATACCTGGAGAAACAGGAGGAACAAGTGTAGAAGAATTGTTTGGGCAGTTTGGCCACGAAAGGACTGAGAGGAAAGGGAAACAGCTTGAGAAGGGTTAACTGGTTCCTCCCATATCCCCAGGTCAGCTGGCAGCTGAGGAAGGGAGAAGGGACTCCTCTTCCTTTGGGTACTTGACAACAGTTCACAAAATGGATGGTACAGAGGCACATACTTTGACAAGAGTGGCAGAGGGTGCCGGAGCTGGATGTTTTTTTACCTTCTCAGCGAAGCAAGAATCAGGGCCATCTGCCAAGAAAGAGAGGAGAAAGGAAAACGGGTTAGGTGGGGAAGAGAAAGGAGATACGTAACAGCAACAGCAGGGGCTGCCCTTGAGAATCACCAAGAAATAAAGGATTGGGTGCTAGACCAACACGACTCCATGACTTTACCTGAGTTGCCATCTGGGATTTATTCCTGGGAACTGACAACAACAGTAACCACCACCATTTATCACGTGGTTATCATGTGCTTCTGGGTGCTTACATAAATTATCTCATTTAAGTTTCCTAACAATGCCGTGAAATATCATGAATTCTAATTATTTTAAAATTATAAAATGGGAAACGGAGGCTTTGAGAGACTTTACCTTAATTAAAAAAAAAATCCGTACTATATTGCCAAGCAGTTTTCGGCACAGAAAAGACACGCAAGGGGGTTGACTTCGTCGAATTTTACTGAAGAGGTTTAGACATGTGCAGACAGAAAAGCAAACGAATAACTGAATCAGATCATTTCAGATTTTAATAAGTGGTGCTAAAATAATAAAACTGGTGATATAACGGGTATTATAATAAATATAATCTAGCAATGCAGAAGGGAGTGCGGGAAGGTACATACTTCCGTGCGGTCAGGAGAAGGCCCTCTGAGGGGCAACCAGCTGAGAATTTTAGGATGAGAAGCTGCAGTTTTCCAGGCCAAGGAAAGGGTAAGCGCAGAGGCCCTCAGGCCAGAACCAGCCTGGCTGCTCGGAGGAAGGCTAAAGTCCGTGCAGCTGTAGCTTAGTGAGCAAGTAGTCATAGGCCAAGGTTGGAGGCGCCATGGCAAGTCAGGGGAAGGATCTACGCAAAGTGGGGGGTAACCCCATCGGATTCAGTGGAATAAGGCTCAGAGGCCTGGCTGTCCGGCTCTCCGACGCGAGTTTCCACTCTGCGAAGCTGCCCCCACGTGACACGCAGCGAGGCAAACCGTCAGGAGAGGCTCCAGGCCCAGGGGCCAAAGGGCCGAGGCCCGCGGGGGTGGGGCTGGGCTGGGCAGTGAGGCGTGTGACCTCCCGGTGTCGCAAAAGTCGAGCAGGCAGCAACGCGGGCCTCGCGCGCCCAGCGAGCAGCCCCCTCTCCCGCCCCAGCCACCACCCCCGCCTCTCATTCTCGTTAGCGACCCCCGCCCCGCCTGGCTGGGTTTTCCCTCCGGGGCGGCGGGTCCGTCTTCCAAAACTTCGGAATGGCCGTACCCCGAGGAGTGATGGGGAGATGAAATAACTCAGAGCGAAAGTGAAGTCCTATGGGAAATAGGCCTTTTTATCTCTGCCTCATTTTCTCTCCCGGCTTTCCAGAAACGACTAGCTTTCCGGGCGGCTCTCCAAGTCACCCCCTCCAACAGCGAGACTATTGGTTTGGCCCCTAGTCCCGGATTGGCTGAAGGTTTACGCCTCGGCCAGGGATTGGAGGGCGTTGGTTCCTTACGTATTCCCGGCGCCCATTGGTTCGTTTTCCCCATTTCTGGGCGGAGTGGTTAGGGACGGTTTCCACCCTCTTGTTTACGGCGCGCGCAGTTGTAGCGCTCTCGGCGCGCTGGGGCTGTCTCCAAAGTTCCTTATTTAGCTCCTCGGACCAATTGGGTCCTTGCTCCACCCTCGCCTTCTCCCGTGCACACCTTCCGCGTGGTACGGCCCACACCTTTAGAGCGGCGACGGGAGCTGACGCTGATCGCGTTCCTCTGCCCGCGCTCGCCAGGCTGCCCCCCCTTTCGAGGGAGCGCTTGGTACGGCCCGCGCCGCCTCCTTCCCTCGCTGGGGTGGCTGCCCCCCCCTTCGGGTCGGCGGCGCTTGGTGCCGCCCGGGAGAACCAGGTCATCGGTCGGCTCCCGTGAAAACAAAAACAATCGGCGGCGCCGCGGCC